GGCCAAGGCCCCTTTGAGAAGTGATGTGTGAGCTTTAGCTCAAAAGATGTCAAGAGGGCAGGCTTCGGCAGGTGCAGAGGACATTCAAGGCAGAGGGAAAACCCAGTGCAAAGTCCCCAGGCCAGAAAGGAGGCCCACGTGGTTAGGCTCAGAGGTGGCATGAGATGAAGGATGGGAGGGCCAGGGCCCCATAGTGATGGGCCTTTGTGGTCCATGGAGAGGCAATGGGCATGTTTTAGATGCCATAGGGCACCACTTATGGGCTTTAGACAGGGGCGCAGCATGAGGAGATTTACAGTTTATTTTTACTACATGGAGAAGGGATGTGGGAGCCAAAGGGAGAGACAGGTGAACAGCAGCAGTGGTTTGGGCAGGAGATGGGGTGGGTGGACTACAGGAGCTGTCATCGAGACGGAGAAAAGTGGGACTTCAAGACATATCTAGGGAGCCAAGGACAGGGATTTCTGATGGACTGGATGTGAAGTGAGGGACAGTAAGGAATCCAGCGTGTCTCCTCTGGGGCTGTGGAGGGGATGCGGGCAGACGTACAGAAGGAGAGATTCAGGGGCGTGTGTGGGTGTGGGCTTCAACCCTAGCTTGGCTCGAGAGGAGGCTGGGGTGACACAAATTGAGAATTGGCTTTCTGCTTTGACTGTTTCAGCACAATGGTTCAATGTGAGTAGGAAACGCTGCTGCCAGCTGACCTGTGCACGTGGCTGCCTCAGAGCTGAGGGCTTCTTGGCTTGAACCTGTAGCTCTGCGGCCCAGGCGAGGGGAGGGGGCCAGAGGGACTCTTCCTCTGAGTGATCACAGGGTGTCTCCCTGCACCTTTGTAATGGCGGACAAATGGCGATTCAAGGTCCCTGGGATATAAGGTGGTCCCTTCTCCTGGGATGAGCAGGGGCAGGACGGTGAGGGTGGTGGTGGCAGGGGTGAAGCACATAGTTACCCTGTATGAGGTTGCCAAGCCCTTACATCTGTTACTTTTATATCACGGGTCAGAGCATAAAGGCAACTGAGCCTTAGGTTGGGGAGGTAACTTACCCAAAGTCACCTAATTAAGTAGCAACAGAGGCAAGCAGTGCACTCAGGCTGTCTGGTTCCGACGTCTATCACATAACGACCAGACTATGCTGCCTTCTTCTCCCGTAACTGCAATCATCTTGGGCGACAGAAGCCTTCCTGACTCGGCTGCACCTGTCTGGTGACCTGGCCACGCAGACCACACGTGGCCGCGGAGGCAGAGACGGCGGGGCCTTACCAGGAACTTCCGCTTCTGCTTCCAGTGGCTGCCCTGGGCGTTGGTGGCCACGTGGGCCTCGGTCACGGTCTTGATGAGCTCCCACTCCTGGTCGGTGGGCTCGGGCTTGTGCCCGATGGACCTCTGCAGCTCCTCCCGCCGCCTCTTCTCCCGGTTCTCCTCGATCAGCTTCCTCTTGGCCAGACGCTTGCTGTCGTCCAGGACCACTGCGGGCGGAGGGGGACACAGAACAGACACTCCCCAGACACCTGGCAGACCTGCGGGAGCCTCGGGCGGGGACCGCCGGTGCGCAGACGGCGCAGGGGGTCCGCGGGGGCATCGCACGGGGCCGTTTCCTCCCTCGGCAGCAAAACTGCCATCGACCCCAGCGCCAGACTCCCAATGCCTAGCCTGCTCTCCAAAACAAAGCTTGGTGTTGGAGGGACTTGGAACTGGGCGTCCTAGCTCCATAAAGGGTGACCCTAAATAAGAACGAAGCAGAGACAGGCAAAGCCGCACCTTTCCACAGGTTCACAGGTTCACAGGTGGGTCTGTCTAGCCAGTCATCTGAATTCGCTCTTATGATTTCTGTTCCTCCCCTCAGCCCCACAAACGATTCTCAGTAAGAAGAACTTCAGGTTAAAGAAAAGTTCTGCAGCAAGAAACCGGAGGCAGAGGACCCCTTCCTCAGAGGAGAAAGGAGTTTAACCCTTTATTAGTTTCCTGAAGGTAGAGTGGAGTCCGACAGTGCCTGGCTCAAGCCTTGTGGGCACTCACTTTGCATTTCTCTCTACCTGGTCAACCTTCAAAGGTTGATTAAAGAGCCCAGGCTGTGGAACTGAGAAAAACCTGTGTTTGAATCCTGATACTACCTCATTCTAGCTGTGTGACCTCTGGCAAGTTACGTAGGCTCTTTGAGCTTTCATTTCTTCCTGTAGAAAATGGGATCAATAATACCTACTTCACAGGGTCTCAGTGCGAAAATGCACTCCCTCCACGTGGTCAGGGAACATAGCCATGACTTTTATCATTTACACAAAAGGGAAATAAGAAAGGTAGGTGGCAAGAAACCTATACTTCTGTGCTTAATTTCCAAAATGAAACTATTCTGCCAGACTCTCAGTGGCATGGACACAGGTTTTACACTACAGAGTCATCATGTTTTACAACTGGAGGGGTCCTCAGCTCTTATCTAGTGCAAATCCCTCCTTCACAGAGGAGATCATGACTTGCCTGAGGTCACACAATAAGTTCATGGCAGAGCCAAGGCAAGAGCCCCGACTCCTCACTGCAGTCCTACAACATCACTGTCCTAGGGTCATTTCTTGATGAAGGTGTGACCTGGTAGGAAAAGAAGAATAAAAGCAAGTGTAGTGGAAGAAGAGAACCAAAGATGCCTTGATAATCCACAAACCGAATAATGAAACCCCAGGTCACATAGATGTGACTGGATCACCAGTCAGGGGAGCCCTGACCATGTGAGCAGTGGGGATGAGCCCTGTTGAGTCCTCGTGGGTCACCTGTTAAAGGCAGAAGGAGGGGGGTGTGCTCATAGACCCACTCCCCACATGCTTCCATGGTGCCAGAGATCGTGATGTGCGACATGCATTATTTAATTGAATCCTGAAAACCACCTGTGGGGTTGGCGATAATTTCACACAAAGGAAACCTGAGGTTAAGCCCATTGGTCACACAGCTAGTATGGGGCAGACCTGGGATTCCAACAGGTTTTCTGATTATAAAACCCAAGCTCTTATAATGCCTCACCAATGAGTAAGGTGCACTCAAAATTAATTTCCACCCAGTCTAGATTAACACTGAGTTTTTTTTTTTTAACTTCATCCACATTCATATCTTTACCTTCTCAATAAAACAATGCAATGGACACAGCAGGTCCAGCATTTCCACAGAACCTTAGCAGGCCATTTGTTGGCAACAGATAAAAGCCTTTAAAAGATAAAGACAAGGAACTGAGCCAGAGGTGCGGACTAACCCAGGGTTTCCAGCCTAACGCCCTGACACAACCCTCCTCCTCTTGAGATTCCCCTTCCGCTTCTTTAATGGGCAAACCAGGATGGTCCACAGATTTTTTTTTCTTTTTTTGGTTCTAGCTGAAAGAACTCTGTTTACCACACAGATGTAGCTGTGACTACTTCCTCTTCATGAGGAAAACTTCCATTGCTTTCTTTTTTTCCTTTCTCTCCTTCCTTCTTTTTCTTTTCCTTAAACTAAAAGCTGGAATCCTTCACTGACGTGCAAAAAATTTTATGCCAGTAGAAACCATTAACCCTGATGCCTGGCAAAAGAGAGGACACACATTCTGAATGACATGATTCTTATTTTGTTATTAGATTAATTAAAGGGACTGGTGTAAATCCCTTGCACAGTGTGGGGAGAAGAGACTCTGACGGCTAATCTCACCACCATATGCTGTGGCACTTTGAAAACCGGGTAGGGCGACTTCAGCTTGGAATGTTTTTATGGTTAAAAATATAACAAAAAAACCAACTGCAGAATGAGTCATGCAGTAGCACTCAAGTTCACATTCTTCAGAAATTTCTGAACAAGATGTTTTCTGTCAGTGCCCCGACTCCACAAATGTCCACAAAATAAATCCCTGTCTCTGCTTTTTATTTAAAAAACTAAAAAAAAAAAAAAAAAAAAGGTGGGGGGAAGGTAATTAGGTTCATTTATTTTTTTAATGGAGGTACCGGGGATTGAACCCAGGGCCTCGTGCATGCTAGGCATGCGGTCTGCCACTGAGCTATAGCCTCCCTGCCTATCTTCACTTTTGAAAAAATATCAGGATGTGTCCACGGTTCTCACCACATGGATGCTGTGTGGACAATTACACCTTATTAAGGTGGATGGACAAAACATCTCATCTGTGACCTCTGTGCAAATGGAGTATTGCTGACCGTCCTGCAAGCATGAAGGGGACAATTTAAGTGCTGTCCCTCACCCATCATCTGGATGCATTGGGAGTCAGGAGTTGATGGGGAGGGTGGACTGGAAACCGCCCGGCCTTGGCTGGGAGTGGGGGACCCTGAGGATGCTGGTGCCCTCCCTCTGTCCACCTGGGCTCCTGCCTCCTTCCCTGCCGGGTCGATCTCCTGGAACCAACCTTTTCCCTAGTTAACACTCCCTGAGTGTGAAGCCAAGGAAGAAGATTACTTACAATCTGTTGCCATGCCAACGTAGATGCATTTTTTAAAGCGACACTCCTGGCACTGATTTCTTGTCACTTTGTCTATGACACATTTTCCTTCATATTTACAGGAATAGGACGGATGGAGATTTTTCTGAATGGTTCTTCTAAAGAAACCCTACGTGAAAAAGAGAGACCCAAGACAACCGTTTCATATTTTCTAGAAATAAATGGCTCCAGCATTTTGTGTTTTCCCAACTGTGATGGATTGTTTTGGGCCCTGCCTGTGTTTGAGCTTGGCACTCAACCTACTCACGTACAGGGCAGTCAGCCCAAAGGGGATCTAAGGAATTCTAGGTCTAAGGTGAAGGCGATGTCAGAGGCTCCAGAGTCAGCACCTTCTTGGCATTTATTCAAGGCTAGTGGGAAAATCTAGTGTTTGCTTTTATGTTTTCTAAATGTTGAGTAATGCAAATAAATTCTATTATTTCACTTCATAGAGTGCCACAATTGTGTTGCTAATTAAGCTAGGAAGAGATTTGGTACACTTCATACTGGAGAATAAAAGAGCAGATACTAGTGATGCTCTATGTAGTAATAATTTAATCATTTAGTATTTAAATGGATGCATTAACTGCCTGTAGAGATTTAGTGTCATTCTTGTTTTTGACTCAAGATGGCCAGGACCAGCTCAGCTAGCTCTTGAAACAACAGTACTTGGGGAGTAGAAAATTCCAGAGTCTACCAAATGCTCCCCAGAGCTCAGCGCACTGGCGCTTTCATTTCCTAGCACTGTTTTCTCGAGCACCCGCAGACATGCGCCCTAGAGTTCCGTGGCTCTTCATCTCTCAAGGCACGGGAAGACGCCACCTGAGGATGCCATGCCATTTCAGGCTTCAGTGACTTGCATGACGTCCTCAAGGCTGTGTCCTCTGAGAACCTTTCTGGGCACAATGCTCAAGTCTTAACTGCCCTTCTGTCTTGTAGGATGACGGAGAGCACTGACCGCGAGGGGTGCATTGCAAGGTGCCGCAGACCAGCCTGTCTCTCCTACAATCTTATGAAGTAGGTACTCTTAATATCTCCATTGTGGGGATTGAAAAACTAAGCCATTCACAGGTTAAATCACTTGCCCCAACTCACAGGGTAAGTACATGCTGGAACTCGACCTGGAACCCAGGAGTTGGACTCCAAATCATACTTACTTGACTGCTTATATGATAGAAACTGAGTCCAGTTTTACTGTATTATTTAAATATTTTAGACGAACATATTAGAAATAGGCCTCTCCCACCTACCCTTCCAAAAAAACACATCGTTTCATATTTTAGTAGACCAGCAGGGCAAAACAAATGTTGGAGGATGCTGTCCACCAACGCTGAAAGGGATCTCTAGCTTTGTTGCATAAATGGGACTGAAATGCCAGTCGATCTAGATTAAGCCCAAATGTTTACCCTGATTAACCTGCCTTGGCTCTGATTACGTGCGTATACCTTGTCCTCGCTCAGACACAGGCGCTCTTCCTTATAGTGAAAAGGTCAAAGGTAGGGTCTTATATTGGGCAAAGCAGAATAAAAGGGAAACATGGCAGCAGTAACTGAAACTAATGGACTTGGTTTTGGGGCATGTGTGCAAATCCCGTGCCATTTCTGTTGCTCAGAAGAGCTGTGATACTACATTTGGCTTTGCATCCTTAAACACAGAGTCCTTTAGTTTGAATGATGTTCATGTACTGCCATGAGATTCCCTAAAGCACATACGGGGAAAGCTGTTGACAAGTTGGCAGTGTTTCCTAGGTGTTCAAGGAGGCCAATCCTGCCAAAGCTTGGCTGTCATGGCCTGCACAGAGTGAGAAATGAGCTTTCTGTGGACCTCCCTCCTCTACCCCTGTTCCCCTCCATCCATCCACTCTTCAAGGGTTATACTTGGCTTGAAAGACAGAAGAAACCCAGAGATTCTAGCAAGAAGACATATGTCACAGACAGGGAGGAGGCGGGGACGGGGTAGCATCCTCCTAATGGAAGAGGCAACTTTTGCCTAGAGGTAGAAACACCAAAGTCCGGGGCCTCCAGTGAGCACGTTGACAGCTGCTATGAAGATGGAGAAATTATTACTTTGTCTAAAGTCAGGAGACCTTTTCTCCCTCGTGCTCTGGCGCTGGCTCATGTTCTGGGGGCCAAAGCGTAGTGAGGGTCAGACAACACTAGGGAGAGAGCAGAGGTGATACACGGAGGTAAGGTTCATCTCCTCAGAAAGGCTGCTCTGCGAACTTGCAGAAGAAATGAATTACTGGCTTATTTTGAAACCAGTGTTGTAGCAGCCCTGCTAGTTGCAGTGCTGTCTTTTCTGTGACTTATCTTGGCTGACTTATCTCGGGCACTTCATGGACCAAATCCCTTTTAAGATGCTGGCCTTCTCTAAGCCATAATGAAAGCATATTTTGACACATGATGAGGGACCACCTCGTTTGAGTACATATTAAAGATGGTAGGTCCCTCAATTTTAAAAGAGGACAAAAATTGACTTTTGGATGTGAATTCAGAGAGAAAATATTTCAGTCTACTTACAAAAAACAAACAAACAAACAAAACCTTTCCAGAGGTGAGCTGACAAAAGAGGAGTGAATAGGGACATGTATTTCATTGATGATTTGTTGGTGAGCGGAGGTTTGGCTTTTATAAATCAGCATCAGACATGTTTCCTTGCATTTTGAGAAGAACTGGATCCCTTTGTTAGTGGTCCAAAGTGATGCACTAATCAGGGCTACAAGAGGCGGTCACCTTCCTAGTTCAATATTTGGGCAACTGTTAAAAAAGCTTGGAGCCTGTCTTTAAAAAATGGTTTATGGTAGGGCAGTGTCAACATTCTTTCTACGAAAGATTCATAAAAACTGGCCCATCACAACTGACAAAGTACCTCCAAAAGATTTCCATCATTTTCAGGGCAAACAGGGACAAAAAAGATCCTCACTCTACACAGTTGCAAGTCTGGGGTAGAAATACTTTTAAATTACAGGGTTGAATAAATAGGATGTGGAGCATAACAGTTTTCATCTTTGACCACTTTTGAAAACTGTGTTTCGTTGGAAAACCTCTTTCGTCTTTTTCCAAGACACTTTGTCCTTATTAAATGATCTGCATAACTTCCCTAGAGAGACCTTCTGAATTTCATGATTGGGGTAGTCCTGGGAACAGGATTCTGACCTGAGACAAAGGTACTTTGGCTGAGAAATCTAGCTTTCTGCTCCCTGATTTATTCTTTCAAGTAAACCACATTGAATCAGGCCCCAGACATCCTTGGGAGAGGAGGCTGGTGGATTTCTTGACCATCGTGAAGACATACGCGAGTCAGGGACACTGGCTAACAGGCTTGATTCACCTTTGTTTAAGTCAGTCGCTAATAGGCATTAAGTCCTCTGTGAGGTACATGTGGTCTTTAGCGTCACTTCGGGAGCTGAGTTTTAAATGGAGTTTTCATTAGAGCCTCTCCTAGAATTCAAAATTTATCATTAAAAACTGATTTGAAAGAATCTCAACGCTGCATAATCAGGTAAGTTAAAGCCTTATGAATCGGGGCTAATTTAGGGGGAAAAAAGGCCCATTTGAATTCCTGAGCTTTTGGAATGAGAGAATGTATCAAAAGTCATGCAGTTTTATTACTTTCCAATCAAGCCAATAAAATTGTGCTTTCAAGAGACAGTCTGCAAGGGTCTTAATTAATAAACAGGTGCAACTTATTTGTAATTAATTCCATTAAGCCCCTTAAGACATTATTTTCATAGACGTAACAGCAACCTTTAGCCCAATCTTTGTTAAAAGATTACACATTCTAGATCAAAGGGGTCTGGATGAATGAAAACACACTACACCACATTCCAAAAAACAGTTGCCTTGGGACCTTAAAAGTGACCTCTTTCCAATGGGTATATCATCTCAACACTTCAGCCGGCTGAGCGTTTCCTAATTTCATGACAGAAAATAGGGAATTTGCACGGAAAAACTTCCACTAGGGAAATGAGACAGAATAGCATGGAACCGAGCTAACATGTTGAGTTTTGGGGTTTGGGGTCAAAAGTTAGGAGAAAAGGCGGGTAGTTGGAGGAAGGAAAGGAGAAGAGAAGGGGTGAGGCGGGTGACAGAGGAGGGCAGACTGAATTGTTTTATAAATCTGAATACAATTTGTGCTCTAGGGTATGCATCTTGTGATAATTTGGTTTAAAATATAAAAGGCAAATAAAATGTTTCACACAAAACAATTGACGTCTTCTCTGACTTACTACCCTTTTTTAAAACATTAGCTGAAGGCTGAGTATAGCATTCCTCGGGTTAAGCTTTGTTTACCTTTATGGTAGACTTTATTTTCTAGGCTAGGTTGTTGGACCAAAGGACGTTTGCCAGAGACTCCTCTCGCCCTTGACAATGAAGATGTCAGCAGGCGAGCTGACGTTCACATTCGGGAAGCACTCTGACTGTGGATAGGGGGTGGGTACTTGTCAAGTGTCTCCTGAAGGTGGGTCTGCAGAGCATGTAATTAGCTGAAGGATGACGGGACATTACTTACTGGCTGCAGGCTGTACACAAAGCCAGTCTGGATAATTTCCAAACATAATTGAATCTAAGTAGCCTCAAAGATATATTCCCTAATGGAACCCTTAAAAGCGAGCATATTCACTCAGATTATCACGGGCAGAGCCACCTGTCTCCTCAAACGCTGGAGATAAAACAGGGGGAGAGATGGCTGTTTCTGGGACAGTAACACGTTATAACATATCTATGCGCTTTTTAACTCAAAGTGAGAATCGTATTAATTTCTTTACATTTGATCAGTTTTCTCCCTGTCTAAACAACCAGATGTCACACTCTCACAAAATTTCATTTAGCTGTTTTCGATCTGGGGAAAAACCAAAAGGAAATTCAGTTCTTGAACATGCCAAAAGACGAAGAGGACAGCCAGACACCCGATCACAGGCCTGTCGGAATGTGGCTCTGATTGGAACTTAACGTTGCGGAGGAACCCGGGGAGGGGCTGGGTCTGGGCTGAGCTCTGGGCCCACGGCCCTGGGGTGGTTACCTTGCAGCCTTCACACGTGATGCAGCGGTAGTGGTAGCCGGTGGCCTTGTCGCCACAGACGACACATAGCTCGTCCTTGTCTAAGTAACTGGGGATGTATCCTGTGAAGGAGGGGAAGAGGAGGAAAGTGAGAAAATTATATGTTAATGTCAAAGACACACCAGGGCCAGGAGGAAGGTCAGGTGAGGACAAGAGTGAGGTGGATGAGGGAGGAGCAAGATCAAACTGTTTTATACCTTTTAATCCAATTTTTGCTTTAAGGTTTACATCTTG